ATTATTTGAATTTAAGTATTTTCCATTTTACATATACACTTCCATAAATTAAAAGGAATGAAGTTATTATAGTTAATATATGCAAATCGTTATCAAATCGTATATTTTCCTTTTCTTCCATTACATGCGTGCGATATATATAAATATATAAACTATGTTACATGCGTTATATGCGTCTCTAATTATTTTTTCCTAGCAACTTTCAATTGAACCTAAAGCCGCCACGTCAGTTTAATTGATATGCTAATTGATTGACAACTAAGCAAGGTTACTTTTTAATTAATACAAACTTGAGGTTACATCTTTTCAAATGTTTCTCAATTAATATATAGGGGATATTAGTTAAAATGTTACAATAATAATAATGAAACATGCGAAATACAATGCAAATAAATCATAAGTTTACATAAAGAAAATAGAACATACGGAGTCATAGTCTTGGATATTCATGTTTGTGGACTGGGTGTAAATCGGTTGTTATCGGATCATGTCTACTCGGGTTGGGTTTTTTCAGATTCAAATCTAATCGGGTCGGTTCTAGTTCTTTATGGTAAAGAAATTTTGGATCCATCTGGTTATTTTTAAATTTTTTATTCGATTTTGAATTGGATATTTTCGCTTCGATTCTGGTTTGGATTTTTGGATCCGGGTAACAAGACCTAGCCAGAGGTGTTAAAATAGGACCAAACAGATCGGATTAACAATTTCTGTTAACTATTTAACGTGGACTTTTTCACCGTCTAATTTTGTTAAGTCAAGATACACTTAAAGAATTATGTTGGCTTGTGGTAGTCAGTCCAAATGTGCTAATTTCAGATACTTGGGGAAATAAATGATCATTTCCCACTAGAGTAATGTGGAGTTTTGAGCAATTGAGGTATAATTTGCTTGGATTATCTTGTAAAACTTAAATTATATTCCCTCGTTTATTTTTTATTTTAGTTTTGGCAACAAAGTTACACAATGCACACATTTGAACAAACATTTCATTGTTGAATAAATATAACATTCATTCAAAACAAAATTATACACTTTTCAGGTTAATACATTTAGAGAGAATCATAGCTTTGCACATATTGTAACATGTCTGTCAAACATCTTTTATTCGTACCTAAAAACTTTGTGAGAGAATCTTATGTAGAAATGGACGAGCCTTGCAAACGGCTTGCAACGGAACTGCTTTGGGTACTGTATTGCCAGTACCTTCCTTCATATCCACTTCCTCTTCTCCAACTCTCTCCCACTCAAAGCATTGTATCAATGACCCGAGAGCAAGCCCTAAGATTCGCTGGGCCAAACCCGATCCAGGACACGCCCTTCTTCCTAATCCAAACGCCAGAAGCTTTTGTGCTTCCTCTTCTTTCTCGAACCGCTCTGGTTTAAAGCAATCCGGATCATTCCACAAGTTTGGATCCCTATGTATGGCCCACGCATTCACCAACAACGTTGTGTTACATGGCATATCGTAGGACCCCACCTTGCAATCTTCTGATGCCATGTGTGGAACCAACAATGGTGTAGCCGGGTGTAGCCTGAGTGTCTCGAGGACGATGTTCTTGAGATATGGTAGCTCGCTGAGATCTGATTCTTCAACAAGCCGGTCTAAACCAACTTGTTTGTCGATTTCGGTTCTCGCTTTAAGTATTACGTCTGGATGGTTAAGCAAATTTGAAAGTGCCCATTCTAGAGTAACAGCTGATGTGTTAGTCCCTGCTATTACCATAACCTACGCGAATAATAGCAAAAACACAAAAGACATCATAATAGTGATAGACACAAATAAAGGAAAAATAAATTATTTGAACAAACCAGTATGATGCCCTTGATGATTTGATCGGTGTAATACTCAGTATCAGATTTTTGGAGAACAAGCAAATGATCGATCATCGTATTACCGGTTCCTTGTTGCTCACGTTTATCGTCAATAAGGCCTTGTAAAAACTTATCTGTATTTTTCCCTAATTCTTTTACCCTTTTCTCATAGTTTGAGAAAAATCTCAAGATCGGAACATAGTCAACGGCGTTGCCCGAACTCGTGTTGGCTCCGACATCTGCCACTAACTTACGGACACGTTTTGCTTCTTCCTCATCCGTTGTTTCTTCGCCGTAGTATCGTTTTCCTGTCATCATTCTCATTATGTTGTTGAACGTCAAGTCCATTAGCATTGGTTTCATTTCCACAACCGTTTTTTCAGTTCCTGTAATTAATTCATTAAACCCCGAGCTTTAGAACATGATATTTTAACTCTAACGACATATATTAACTTTGCATAAAAAGTATTAATTTTAAATTAAAGATAATTTTAATATCTTGTTGTAGCGAAGCATATGAAAGTATGAATCAATAAAGTTTAATAATAAGTTTTTTTGACTAAATTTTTAATTATAAGCTACAAATTATTTTCTTGTGTTATTTCTAATTGTTTTAGAGAAGACGTAGAAACACAACTCCCATTTTTATGAGTAAAACACCATTTTGTTCTCTTTCTAATCTTTTTAAAATACGAAACGAATGGATGGCTGTAAAGTTGTGAATTATAAAAGTCTTGATGTGGTCTCTATCATATCATCCACCACAAGGGCCTATATCGCATATGTTATCTATTTCATTTTCACTGTTCAACGTTCATTGTCATAAGTCTACATACCTAAATGTTTTCACTATATCAACAAATATACAAACAATAAAAAAAACACATGCAGCATATATACCTGCGCTACGGAAGAGGCGGCTTATGAGACGGCGTACTTCGTCGGTACGAACAGAAAGGAAGCAGTTTAAGCGGTGGGTGGAGAAGATCTCAATGGTGCAGAGGCGCCGGAGGTTGCGCCAGTGATCACCGTAAGGTGCGGCGATTATGTTTGTGTCGTTGTACCCAACGTGTTTTCCGATGATCACCTGAGGCCGGTTAGCTAGAATGACGTCATTCTTCCCGAAGCACTCCTCGGCTGCGATCCTATGTGAAGACACTACGTATACTAGGCGGGATCCAAGTCGGAGTGACATCACGCCGCCTCCGCCGCCGTGGAGGGACTCGGAGAGGGAGCGGAGGGTGCGGTGGATGGGCGGTTTCAGGAGGCGTAACTGGCCTATCACTGGCAACCATCCTGGCGGAGATGGTGGAAGATTCTGTTTGTTTGGTTTCAAGAACTTGAGAAAGATGATCAATAATACGAGGGGGAATATGGAATAAAGAACAACTTCACTATTATTATCAGGCATTTGTTAATTTTTTCTCTCTATTCTTGTCTTTAGTTCAAGTGGTGGATATATAAAGTGCTGAAAAAGCATATAGTTAGTATAATTTGAATTTCGGCACGTTGTAAATTAGGATATAGTAATACGAAAGCAATATCGACGATTTTGACATTTCATCTAATTAGACTGAAGTTGAGAAATGCTTTAATCTATGTGATTTGATGGGATAAGAACCTAGCAGGGCATTTAGATGAATGTACTAGTGGTTTACCGAACTACGCCCAGTTTCTTAAGTTTTCAAAAATTAAAATTAAAAACTTAAGAAACTGGGCGTAGTTCGGTAAACCACTAGTACATTCATCTAAATGCCCTGCTAGGTTCTTATCCCATCAAATCACATAGCTTAAAGCATTTCTCAACTTCAGTCTAATTAGATGAAATGTCAAAAGAATTGATTATTAAAATAAGTTAGTGTCCAAATTTAAAATGTTAGAACTCATATAGTTGTGTATTTTATTATATAAAATTATGAGTTGATAGTACGAGTTAGAGATTAATTTTTGATCTATATATTTTTTATTCTTGATTACGTACGTTTCTATGTAATCAGTTTACCAATCTAACTAATTTTTTCATAATCAAAAATTTACCGGTCTAACTAAATTTATATAATATGAAATCTTAGTTTGATATAAATAATTTTTTATTAGTCTCACAAAAGAAATCGGATTTCTCTTGCTAGATTATTAAAAAAGGGTGTTAACATGCTTTTGGATGAATGAGTAATTGAAATATTATTTTTTCTTCCAAACCGACTCATTTTATTATAGAGAATAGGTTTAGTCAAACCGGACCAAAACAACTGAATACTATTATTTATCCTCCAAACAAATTTATAAGAATCTATTACAAATGAAAAATTAGACGAAAACCATATTATTCTTAAGCAAACTACCACCCAAAACTTTATAGTTAAATCATATAAATTAGGCCATCAATGCAAATTAAAAAGATGTCTCGTGTTGGAGACTCAATATTTTCTATTATTTATTTTTCATTTCTGCTTACACTATTTTTCGGATGAACAAATTCATCAAATCCATTTTTGAGGAAGCTAATCATTGGTTTTTGATTAAAGACCAAGAAGGAGAAGCAAAACAGATTGACTTGGAAAGCAAGAAAAAATCTTGTTTGGTTGGAAATCTCCTTCTGAGGACTGATTAAAATGCGAAATAGGATTTGCTTGAGATAAAGTTCGTAACTAAAATGGAGCAGCATGGTTACTCAGAAACAGCAATGGCAAAGTTTTACTTCTCAGTAGACGGTCTTTTGCTAATATTTTAAGTAAGGAAGATGCCTCCCTTGCAAACTGGACATGTGCAATTGAGTGCATCAAAACTCTCTATTTCAACTCGGTTATCTTTGCCTCTGATAACCATGATCTAGTTCAATCCATTTCAAAACCCTCCTCTTGGCCTTCCCTCAGATTCTACTCAACTTTGTTGATCCCCTTGCTTAATGAATTGCATGATTGGAAGGTTAGTCACTCTCACCATCGATGCATCAAAGGAGCAAAGATAATAGCAGAAAGTGTAATCAAGTTCGATCTTTTTCAATCATACATTGCAACGAGTCATCCTTCTTGACTAAACTATCTCTTCAGATAGTCTCATTATCTTCTTTTCCTTGAATATCCCAACTAAATTTTATTAAGCTTTTTAATACCCAAACTTTTTCACTACCCAATTTAATACCTCAACTAATAATTTTATCCACTTTAGCATACAAACTTTTATAACTGTGCCCATTTTAATACCCAAAGTTTGTTTATTTTAATTAACAATACTAATAAGTTTCAAATAAAATTTTTAAAAAATCTCCAAAATCTAAGAAAAAATATTTAAAATTTCTATGTTTACTCTAAGATTTAAGAAAGAAGGTAAATAAACTCTGGAGAAAATTTAAATGTTTTAAAAAAAAAATTGAAGGAAAAAAAATAATTTACTTTTTATTTCAGAAAATAAACTAAATTCAATATATAAAACTTAAAAAAAAACTTATTAAAAACTTAAGATTATAAAAAATTTATTTAATTTCCTTTCTCTAACATATAATAAAATCAATTTTTTTGTAAAGTTTAGAAATTTTAAAAAATTTATTGGAAACTTATTCGTATTATTAATTAAAATAAACAAAGCTTGAGTATTAAAATAGACACATTTATAAAATTTTATGTATTAAAATGGGAAAAATAATTAGTGGGTATTAAAATGGATAGTGCAAAAGTTTGGGTATTAAAAAGATTAATAAAATTTAGTTGGGATATTTATATGGAATTTTCCCTTTTTATAATTACTAAAAATTCCATATAACACTAAAATTTGAACAACAAAGCTTATTTACTCGCATATGAGAATTAGTGATACACAAAAGACTTTAGTGATATTCGCATATGAGAATCAGTGATACTTATTATTATTTTCTTGTTTATTTATTTTTTTATATAAAATGAAAATGTTACAGATTTTTGAAGTTATCAAACCTATGGTTACACTGGCAGTTAAAATCCGCGAGGTTGGCGGATGAACTAATTGCCACATCGGTTTTATAGGCATCTGCTCATCCTTCACAGAGCTTGAAGATGTGGTAGCAACAGCTGTAGCCACACCAAAGAGCAGCGTGAATCTGAGCAATATGTGCTCAGTCTCCTTTTTTCTTCTGTTCCAGTGAACTGTGTTTTCACTTGACAGAATTATTGTATAGTAACTTAAACTTCTAGCAAACATTCCCGAAACCAGATAATTGTGAGAATCTTTTGTTTCACTGAATAAAATATTTTTTCTAATGATATTGTTATCTATCTTTTTATAATCATTAAAAATTCTAAATAGCACTAAAATTTGAATAACAAAACTTATTTACTCGCATATAGAATCAGTGATACACAAAAGACTTCAGTGACACTTATTCTAATTTTCTTATATATTTATTTATTTATATAAAATGAAAATATTACATTACGAAGATGTACTTTGGTTTGTATAAAATGTAATATTACTTGGGTTGATATATAAAAATAATAAATATGTAAAACTATATATTATTTTAGATAAACATAATGTAATATTACAATTTCTTATATTATATATATATATATATATATATATATTTATTTACTTAATATAATTTTTGGTCACATGATTTAATGAACCACATGTTTATTTTGGGAGAAGGATTTTATGTTGATGTTGACATTTCCTGAACCTCAAATAATCCATTTTAGTAGTATAGATTCACAAACATACAAAGGAAAGGAAGCAAAGGACGAAAGTTAAAGAAGCAGCGAGAGGGTTCAAACGCGTAGAAGAGCTTCTGGCCCTTGGAGACGGCGTTGGCGGCAGCAACGGCGGGTTTGCTGAAGCTGTAGGTCTCGTGAAACCATTCTTATCGTTACCTGAAAATTAAATTCAAGAAGCAAATTAACTCATTACTGACATTAAGTAGTTTTTATTTCTTGGAGAAGAAGTTAGGGCAGTACAATCAGATTCTTTCCATCCCAATATCATTCTCTCACGGTCGTGGACGATTCTGTAGTTGGTCATGAAGTTTTCTAACAGAATGTAACAAAATTATTTGATTAGAAATTGGTCAAAATGTGCAAGATTATGTTTTTTTTTGTTTTTTGTTTTTTTTTTATGTGCAAGATGATTTTGGTTGAAAGACTTACGTCCGATAATGTTGAAACCGGCGGTAACTTCCTTGAAGACGGCCAAGCAATAGACTTCTCCACCCTGTAAATCCAGTGGAGATTCATATATATAATTATGTAATCATTATATATCCTGAGTTGATGAGATGAGAGATGTGTATGCGTACATCGGAGGTGTCGAAGACAAGTATGGGGCTAAAAACATTAAACGTAGCTCCTCCTTGCATCTCTAAGCTAATTGAAGGAAGCTTCTCTTCATCAGTACTGCAAACAGAAACAACACACATGCATCACTATTCTATTACTACGTTTTCTTTTTAAGTCATATGTATTTAGCTAAAGAGAGGCTACGCACGCTGATGTAATAATGTAGCAGAACTCAAAGGGACTCTTCACTCTTGCCGGTAGTCTTCTGTCTCCTACTTGAAGATGGTACTGCACAACACAAAAAAAAAAATTAAAAAAAATTAAAAAGAATCAGTAATATAAACGCAGTTTATACATTTTAAGCTTGCATTTACATGCAGGATTAAACTGTTTGTAAGAGAATCATTTTCTAAAACCAAAACATAGTTAATATTGATTTTAAATTTCACTAAATGAAACTTAAACTAAAATGCAAAGAAACAATCTAGGCAGAGAAAAGTCAATATAGTTAGGTAGTTACGTTTGTGGTTACAGCAGTGTAGTAAGGTTCGATCAGCCATGTAACCGCGGTTCCAGAATCAAAAATCGCGTTGAACTCTGTTTCCACCGTCACAGTTCCTACCTTGAATTCCATGATGGTTACATCGTAAAACGGCCTGTGTTAAAACATGCTAATATACGTTAAATATCAGAAATTACTGGAAAAAAATTGAAGAAAAAGGTGGTAAGGGGGAGTGTTTACGGAGAAAGAGTGCCACTCAATGGAGTTTCAAGCTGGTCTGAGCTGCCTTTGTCTCCGAAACTGATTGTTCCTTTCCCTTTCAGACCAAAACACATTGAGAAAGAGTTTGAGGCTACACCTGCTTTAGCCAACATGTTTGGAACCGCTATGTTTGCTATTGCAAGTCCCATTATACCATTTACAGCCGATTCTTCGAACAACCCTTCTTGGGACTCACTACATCTGCAGCCACCATTTGAGTACTTTGTTTAATAATAAGTGGCAACAGTCTCACGTCTAAAATAAATGAGGAATGTAGAATGATTGTTAGTCAATTCTTGAAAACTCTACTTTGCTAATTAATAAGCAATATACGTTCAATGTTCAAGTAATGCAAGACAATAATTAAAAGTTTTTATAGAAGATCAGTCTGCTTAGGCGCCAAATATACCAATTTTTAGAAAATCCTTTCAGAATTTTTTTTCCGGTTATAACTGATTTACCGCTTAGGGGGAGGCCTACAGAATTTTAGAGCACTGTTAGTAATTTATTTTCAAATTTGAAAGAGTTACAAACCCAAATGTGATCTTAGCATCTCTGGCTTCTCCTTCTTCTGTCCTCATGTGGATCACATCATCCACTAACACACCTGAACTTTTGCTTCCAGGCGAGAGATATCGAATTCGGTAAGGACAATCACTGAGAGGAGAAACACATCTGTTTCTTAATGCACAAAGTGTACTATTGCACGGAACCTTTGAACTTGTTGTTGATATGGTTGGGTCATAGATGTTGAGCTTTATCCGCTATTGTATAAAAAAATATATGTATGTGTCTTAACCGATGATCAACTTTAATGTTGTAATTAATAACATTATTGTTTGTTACCTCGCCTTGGTCGGTCTCCATGTTCCTTATGCAACTGGAATTGCAATTGCAAGGTAACCAGAACAAATCACTTCCCGTGTCTAAAGCCACCAAGAACCATTGAGCCGGTGTCCCCACCGTTACATTCGCATAATGCAAACTGATATATTAAAAACAAGAAAAGAAAAACATAATCAGAAGTCTACATAATGTATTTTACCAAAATGAAAGAAATAAAAACAGAGAAAAAATATAGCATACAAACTGATTTCTTGTGTGGAGTAGCCTTGAGAGAAAGAAACAGTAGTCTGATTGTTGTTAGACGTTAGCCTGCGACCTCGGTCACGGTGAACCAAGGTCTCGTAGTATTCAAGAGTGCCCATTTCAGGCAAGCCATGGCCACCAAGAACGGTCTTGACTTGGTCCGAGAATCTATGGTGAATTTCAAAGGAGAATGATCCTGAAACTGAAGCAAATCTCAAACTCATAACGCAGAATCCAAACTGCAACATCCATCTCAAGTTCCCACTACTCCAAACCATTCTTCTCTATTTATCTTACTATATGAATCTAACTTCTGTTATATTAGGAACAATTATGCTGCTTCTTGCAACTTGAGTTTCTTTTACTACATGTTTATTCTTTTGTGGGTGTAGGAGGGAAAAGGTCAACGTTTTGCCTGGTGATTGGTATTTGTCAACGAGTTCTTAAAATCATTGATGAAGGAATATGTTGCCAACGAAATTATATTTGATTCAATTATAGAACATCAACTCTCGTGATTAATTATTCTAGAATACATAGAAATAAAATCATAGTCTTTCTTGATTATGACCTTAATAAGCAAAATGAAATCACAAGTGTATGATCTAGATTGAATAGTTGTGTGGCTGTCTATATATATATATATTTGGTGGATATGTGAAAAGAGACGTGGAGGGATGTTTGTTGGTTCCATGAGTTAGGTGCAGCCGAATACATTTGGCAAAATGGTGATGATGAAAAGGTCAAAATCTGCAAGGGAAACAAAGGGGTGTTTCTGTAATGATATTAAGATAATAGGACAAGAATGCAAATAACGATAAAGTATAGGAAGTAGAAACCGTTGACTTTGCACAAGGTCATGCGTGTCGCATATGTCTTGACCCGGCGCAAATCACTCATTCAAAAAGGACATTTTTATCTTCTGATAATATTTTATGATAACTAGAATTTACCTGCAAGGTCCTACATTACATTCTAACCTATTTACATCACACTAAAAGTTTGAATAAACTTATTTCGATAAATCTATAAAATTTTATCATCCCCTATATATTATTTGAGAATCATTTAAAAAGTTGTAACCTTAAGTTTGTAAGAATTAAAAATAACATCAATCCTACGTGGCATAACTCTTTGACTTCTATTTCAAATCTCAAGGATTCTAGAGCATGTGATATAATGTATAGTTTAAAAATTATATTCTCTAGCAATATAATATTCCGTAGGCTATAGTTGGTCGCATATATCAAATCTTTATTGTTTCGCATGATTTCCTTAAATAAAACCTACGGAATTACCTAATGTGATCAAAATATATATATATATATGTGACAATTAATGATTTTAAACAATAAAGATTTGATAACAATCTGTATACTTTTTTCATTTTGTTTATTTCTTTATTATTAAAATAAATTACACAATTACATTAATCATATAATTAAAATCTAGATTATTTTTTGTATGTTGTATTTCGAATTTTTCAAAATGAGTATAAATTACTAAAACTATTAAAATTCCCACATAAACTTTTAAGATCAAGTTTTTAATTTTTTTCTATACTAAAATATAATGATTATAAGACCATATGAAGAAATAATTTTAGTTTATATATATTTAATATCATTTTAATTAAACTACACATCGTATGAAAATACATACTTATATTTTGATATTTGCCTTGAACATATATTGAAAAGTTAATATTTTAATTTTGAAACATGTCATTGTTTTTTTAAAAATGATTATAAATTATTGAAACTACTAAACATCTCACATTAAAAAAAAAATCGTTGGTGTAAAGTTTTGTTACACAAATATGCAAATAATCATAAAATCATATGAGTAGAAACCTCATTTAATAAATATCCATATTAAAATTGTGTTATATTACTATGTTTATATAATTTAAATTTAATTATATATCATATACAATATATAATATTAATTATTTTGATTTATTTATCCTAATTGTGAATAAACAAGACTAATAGTTAAATTTATATGCATACGCCAATTTATTACATAATAGTAACTGATTTCTTAGTTATTTAATATATATTTATTATTTTAGTATTTATAATATGCACAAAAAAATAAAATAAATAATAAATATAAAATACTTATTGTGCATAATGGCAGATCTTAACCTAAGTATGTATCTCTTTAATTATTTTAAATCTTAAGTATTTTCTAAAACAAACGAAATGAGAATAAAATTCAAAATAAATATTTATATCGAGTAATAACCAAAATATAAAAAACATAGCAAGAGAAAAATGGAAGATAAATAGGACTGACACGTGAACGTGAACTTCTCATAACCATAATTAAATTTTAAATTGTTAAATCATGATATAAAATTGAGTTAATTTTTAATTTGTTAATTTGTTAATTTTTATTTTTTAAAAATCATTATGATTATGTTAAATCATGACCATAATTAATTTTAAATTGTTTATTTGTATTTGAAAAACTTAAATTATTGTTTTTAAAAATAATTTAAAATTTAACATAATTTATTATAAATTATTTTAAAAAATAATAATATGAAAAAATATAATTTTCTAATATTATTAGACATATAAATAAATTATATTAAATTAGTTTTGAAACTTTATATATTTTAAATGCAAATATTTTGCTTCTTAAAAAACATTAGGGAATTTGCTAATACTCTACCAATCAAGCCCAGTGACACTCCATTTATTTTCCATCACTCGAACACTTAAAAGTGAAAAGATAAATGAAATCAGATCCATTAAATTCTAAGGTTTGATCTACATTTCTAACTAAAATTGTTTCTGATCCTACGTATAGATAATTATATAAAAATTTCAAAATTCTTAAATTTCAAATAAATACAAAAACAATCATATATAAATTTTAAATTTATCAATACTAAAATTTTATATTTTAATTACATATATTCACCATGCGCAAGGCGCAGGTCTTATCCTAATTAAACCTTAAGCACATAATATAAAACATGATACTGAAGCAGTAATTAATCATTTAGTTAACTATTAAATTAAAAGGCTCTCATAATTACTCACTTTTAATCCATTTTTGTAATTTGTTCACGAAAGTACGAAACTACTCATAATGATTTGGCTCTCCAAGAGCGTTGTTTTAAAATTGGTAGCCTCAATCATAATATCATAAATTGACTCATTAATCTTTTTTTTGTTTTTTTCCTTTTAGGTGGAAAATGATTAATCTCTAATCTCCATAAACATGATCGCAGTCACTCATGTATATATCTGTTAACTGTATTTTTGGGAAGAAGCTCTATACAAGTAACAGATAGACTTATAAACTAGTTTTACAAAATTGATAGAAAGTAGAATTCTGAAACATACACAGGGTCACAGACGAACAAGTCCTAATGCACAAGTATACGTACCATATGTAGAATCAAAGGAAACACAAGGCTTACATAAAACTATATAGGAATGTCTGAAAACAAAGAGGCGTAACAAACTCAAAAAGAGAAAATGTTCTATGTTATATAAAAAATATCCAAACCCTAATTAAAAATATCTCTATTTAAGTTTTTTGTATTTATGTCTCTGCGTACGTGAGTGGTAATCTGCTGGCCTCAGTGTGGACTTTTGGTAATCAATATCAATCCAAATAGATTTGTACAAAGAGCAAAATCCAAACTTCTTGAGTAACAGATGCATATTTGTATAAAAACCGTCTAGGTGATGAGGTTGATGTTCTTTACGCCGAGATAGATCGATTAATGTGGACGTAAGTAGTTTTTTTTTGTTTTTAATGTACGGCTATATATGCATGTGAAGAATCAAGCCTTGGTGCTTGAGAAATTGGGGAGAAGGTCAAGGCAGTGAATGAAATGTCGGTCGTGTACAAGAGGATTCCCGGTTCTCCTAGGTGGAGAACCTGCGTACCACATTGACTCTACTGTTCCGCCTTCTATTGGCTGAACCTACCACAATAAAATATAATGAATAATTAACTCACAAGAACCATGCATGCATGGAAATTTGGAGATACTCCTCCCGTTTTCATATAGGTGGGGGGTTATGACATTTTCATGTTTTTATATTCCTACAATAAAATCAGTGAATTTGATAAAGATAAAAAAAAAAATCAGACTGAACTATTTCGCATGTTTTTTCGATACTCACATGTCACTAATAGTTTTGAAATATGAATTATATATATGATGAAGAAAGCAAGTATGACCTTATCGATTATGCTGATAACGCCACTTCTTCCCTCCGAACTTTGTTGGCTGATTTAAGAAAAAAAATAATAAGAAAAAACGTTTTCACTCTTTTCCATACTCTGTTTTTAAGCTTTATTAAAAAAAAAAACTTTGTTGGCGGATTGTTGAGGCACAAACACGTAGGAACCATCATGATGAAATTTCAAAAAATATAAAAAAAAAGCAGTGGAGAATTATGCTTATAGTTATAGATGAGAAAACAAATCACAAGTTCTTATGAAATGGAAATTCACAAGTTCTTATGAAATGGAAATACAAGACACCAAATGTTACTGAAAACAGAAACAAATTAACAATCTAGACCATATAATGTTACCAGTTGGAAAGCAGAGAACATGGGAGAGGTTTGAGGAAATCAGGAAGTGAAGGACACACACGACGTGGCTTTGGGCAAAGAGGTTGCTCCGTTGGTGTCTTCATGTTTGAATGATGTTCCATATTATATAAAATAAATGCAAAGACCAGCTAGGTATTACGTAAGTTGATCCTTTGTTAAACTGTAGTTGAAAAAACAAATTAATTAGTTCGAATCTATATGTACACGAAACAGAAAACTAAAAATGCAATACGCTAAAATTTGTAGTGATGAGTGAAGAGCCAAGTTTGGTTATTCTTAGACATAACACTAAAAAAGAAAAACGTGACCAATTTACACATGTGAAGTTTCTGTGATTCCTCAGTGTCTTGGCAAAGAGTGAAAGTAGGGTTGATGTTCTTGACTACTCCACCCCACACTATTTGCTCTCTATTTTCACTTCTGTAAATCGACATTAGGGATATTGTTTATGAAGGCCCATTTACTAATTGAAGGCCCATTGTTATTTATATTCTTAAAAAATGATATGTGGAGAGAAGAGAGGAAAGAGCAGCACATGGGAGAAGTGAAGAGGAAAGGGGGAAAAGAAGTGGAGGTGGTCGGTCAGGTGCAGGTGGAGATGGAGGTGGAAGTTGGATGTACACACCACACGTATATCCTTATTGAGACAGCTAACTTTAAAAATGATGTCACTATATCACGTGTCTCCCTTTCAATCACTCACAGATATTCCACCTTTTTTTTATATGTAAAACCATCAATCTTCTTCGCCCAACACAACACAACACACTTCGCTTTCCTTCTTTTTCCATCTACACTTTTCATAACTTCACGTAGCTTCTCCTCTCTAAAATAAACCCTCTAATCGTTTGGGAGGACCGTATCGAAAAACTGATTAGTTAGTGCCGCAAATTGAAAAAAATTAGAAAGATAGAGGACTATTTAGCAAAATAAAAAAGGACAGGAAAAGTCAAATAGAGGAACAAAGAGAGAAGAGTTTAGGTCTTATAGAAAAAATCTGATCCAGTAGTAACAACAGGGATTGGATTGTCTGGTTAGAAGCTGTGGAGCCCTTTCTTCTTCTCTTTCTCCTTCCTTCTCACACAGAAGCTCCTCACCACCAAGCCCTTCTTCTTCTTCTTCTTCTTCTTCTTCTTCTTCTTCTTCTTCTTCTTCTTTTTCCTCTTCCTCCTGGATCCAATTCAGATCTATCAGATCTCCATCGCTTCTTCAGAGTCATATCTTCTGATCTTCTCCCTTGTTACTACTAAACCTCTTGTCTGAAATCAAGATTGCTTTTTTCTTATCTCAATTCTGGAGTTCCTTGTTGATGATCATCATCTTTCACATCTGTTGACTTCTCCCCTGTTATCATCTCAGGTACCCATCTTCCTCACTTTGATAAAGTTGGAATCTTTTAATCTCTCAAGCACCGATTAAGTTTCTATTTTGGGAAACTCTAAGAACCCATTTCTATTTTTGACTTGCAGATCCATAAAGCTTAAACCTTTATACTTGTTTCTGTATCCCTTTCAACGGATGTGGAGGAAGAGAAAGAGAGTTTCCCTGATGGCATGAAGCAGGGATATGTTAACAACTTTAATGAAACTATTAAGCTCTTGTCTGTGGCCTTCTGCATCGGGCAGGTCCGTTGATTCAACGGGGAAACACGATGGACTTCTCTGGTACAAAGACTCTGGTCAACACTTACTTGGTGACTTCTCTATGGCTGTTGTTCAAGCCAACAATCTACTCGAGGATCAGAGCCAAGTTGAGTCTGGTCCTTTGAGTACACTTGACTCTGGTCCTTATGGTACTTTTATTGGTATCTATGATGGTCATGGTGGCCCTGAGACCTCTCGCTTTGTTAATGATCATCTCTTTCAGCATTTAAAGAGTAAGCAACTTGCATACATACTTGCTTATGAACCAATTGATACTTAAATAGCTTGTTGAATACTGTAGGGTTTGCAGCAGAGGAGGCATGTATGTCTATGGAAGTGATTAGAAAAGCTTATGAAGCAACTGAAGAAGGGTTTCTTGGGGTGGTGACAAAGCAGTGGCCGGTTAAGCCGCTTATTGCAGCGGTGGGATCTTGTTGCCTTGTGGGTGTTATATGTGGAGGGATGCTGTATATTGCTAACGTTGGAGATTCACGTGCAGTCCTTGGAAGGGCAATGAGAGCCACAGGTGAAGCTATTGCGCTTCAGCTATCAGCGGAACATAATGTGAGCATAGAGTCTGTTAGGCAGGAGATGCACTCCTTGCACCCTGATGACTCTCATATTGTTGTGTTAAAGCACAACGTGTGGCGCGTTAAGGGCCTTATTCAGGTAAATTCGTTGAACTTGTTAATGGATTCTTGAAGTCAAGACGCTATAGTTTTGGAGTTTTGGTCAAAAGACAAGATTATGTTCTGTCAGTGTTGTAATTCCCTTACGTTAAGCTAGATATGTTTGTTTCTTGGCCATGTCAAGATAAGCCCCTGAAGATATGTTTGTTTCTTTGGCAGGTATCTAGGTCCATAGGAGACATGTATCTTAAGAAGGCGGAGTTCAACAGAGAACCATTGTACACGAAGTACAGACTCCGAGAGCCGATCAAAAGACCAATCTTGAGCGGAGAACCGTCTATAACAGAGCATGAGCTCCAACCACAAGATCAGTTTCTGATATTTGCTTCTGATGGACTATGGGAACAGCTTAGCAACCAAGAAGCTGTTGACATCGTTCAAAACCACCCACGAAACGTGCGTTATATACAGTATAACTTATACTCATTTCTTCTTAGTTCAGTAGAAGTATATTACAAAACTCAATATTGATGTGTGAATGAAAAGCAGGGGATAGCACGTAGACTGGTGAAAACGGCAATGCAAGCGGCAGCAAAGAAGAGAGAAATGAGATACTCTGATCTGATGAAGATAGAGAGGGGTGTAAGGAGGCATTTCCACGATGACATCACTGTGGTGGTCATCTACCTTGATACCAATGTAGTGAGTTCTGCCAAAGGACCCCCTCTTTCTATCCGAGGCCGCGGTATGACTTTCCCCAAGAAACTCTAAACGGTATCCCCCACGTTTTAGGCTCCCCATCTTTTGTAGTTATTTACAAAAATATATATATCACTCTTTGTTGGTATAAGAATGTATAATTTTAACGTGAAAGCCACACACACGTTTGAAACCGAACCCATTCCAGTAATTATTGATTTTTATTTGTTCAACAGACTTGTGTGTAATGATGTAATTGTTGTTGATGGATGAATGAATGTAGTAAGCTTTTCCTCTATGTTTGTATTGGATAAAACTCTCTATACAGAGGAGTGTTTGATAATGATTTACATTCTAAATACGTGAATGAAGTGTTCAATATTTATGACAGAGCATTCATCAAACAAAGTGAAGCTTTACCTTACCTTGTTGATCTCTAATACGTGAATGAAGTGTTCAATATTTATGACAGAGCATTCATCAAACAAAGTGAAGCTTTACCTTACCTTGTTGATCTCTACTTGTTTGGTGCCAAGAGGAAGCTTAAATTTGAGGAGTTTGAAATAGTTGACTTCGCAGTCTTTTAGGTTTTCCTTTTGGTTTTTGTCAAATAAAGAAATCTACCTAGCACTGTAAGATCATGTTCTGCAGCCATATAGGAAGAAAGCTTGGAAGAAAGCTTGAAATCAACCTGAGTTTTATAAGTTTCTTTATACATATTATTTTCTCATCTACTGACTTAGTGCTACAGAAACATATTGTTCTTTGTAATTATAAAGAAAAAATCGATTTTAGTTAAACTTGGATTCAAAACAAGAGAATCTTGGTTTATTTTATTTTTCCACTCTGGTTATTAATCTAGTTAATGCAGAAACATATTATATTGAGAATAATTTCATAGCCAGTTTTTTCATTGATTATTTTGGAATTAAAATAGGATTTTATCTTTCATTATCTATACTATTAAAAGTGAAGGCACCCTTGAAAAATCGACTGATGGAAGTTGTGTGCACCCTTGAAAAATCGACTGATGGAAGTTGTGTGCACCCTTCATTAATGACATTTTGGTAATTTATTTTCGTCTTACATCTATATATATATCAATTTGTTACAAATCATATCACATATTGCATATACCCGAATTATTCTCTCTCTTTCCATTAATTACTCTAACCATTAATTATTTTCTCTTTTTTCATTCATTATTTTTCTCTCTTTCCATTAATTACTCTAACCATATTTCATACTATATTTCATACATTTATTGATTTCCAACATTATATTACACGATTTGGTATATGCATCATATATGAACTTTATAACCATATTTCATAATATATTTCATACATTTATATTATATTATACACCTTATATTACATGATTTCAATCTATAGATTTTCGGCATTATACTTTTATGGTTGACTTTTTTTTGTTATATAAATCATATATATATTTATAACCATATTCCAAACTATATTTCATACATTTATATTGTGTTATACACCTTATATTACACGATTTCAATCTATATATTTTCAACATTATACTTTTTTGGTTGACATTTTTTTGGTATATGCATCATACATGGACTTTATAAACCTTCATTTCATTTATATTGTGTTATAGATCTTCATTTCATGATTTATCTTCATATATGAAATATGTTTTCATGTCTCACTAAATTTACCCGTATTTATATACCATACTATATTTCATACAATTATATTATGTTATAGACCTTATATTACATGATTTCAATCTATAAATTTCCAACACTATACTTTTTTGGTTGACATTTTTTGGTATATGCATCATACATGGACTATATAACCCTTCATTTCATTTATATTGTGTTATATACCTTATAATACACGTTTTCAATCTATAAATTTCCAACATTATACTTTTTTGGTTGACATTTTTTGGTATATGCATCATACATGGACTTTATAAACTTTCATTTCATTTATATTGTATTATAGACCTTCATTTCATGTTTTTCTTCATATATGAAATATGTTTTCATGTCTCACTAAATTTACATGTATTTATATACCATAGTTAGACGACATATAGTGATATCAACCAAAAAAGATATATCATCACTCTCATGATGACATTTAATGGACGAGATACATTTTGTTAAGAAAATATTGCAAATACGGTTTTCTATAATTATCTTCCTACTAAAATAAAGAAATTGCTTTACCAACAAGTTATAGATTAACCACAATCAATATCATAGATTCCATAAATTTCGGTAACTTACCGTAATTGGATTACCACTAACTGTTAAACTTCCTAAATAATTCAAAATCTTCAAGAAATATTTCTTATTCCTCAAAAGAGATATTTTAAAAAATCGTATGAAATATTCTCCCCTACATTCGCGTAACCTAATTGTATATCATCCCTACATATTATAAATATAGCCTCTCTTAACCATTATATTTATCATCTCTCGAAAACCTAAAACAAAAATGGTGAATAATTTGCAGTTCTCTTTCTTGAGCGATATAAAACCGAGGAAGACTGCTTTCGCATCCAATTCAAAATCCTTCATACGTGAAGACATTTCATGAACGACTAAGGGAGTCCATGGAACTAACCTTTTGTGATGCAAAAGTAAATTTATAGTTTTGTATAGATTTTTGATTTAGATATCTTCATTTCGTTAAATTTTAACTTAAATGATAATGTTTTATGTTTATATAGGGAAGTAAGATTCATGTCTCGTGCAAGAAGACATATTCCTCGAGACTGTTAATCATGAAATACCAGAGACAGATGAATTTAAACAACAGTATTTATCTTCTTCAACAAAATGTTTTCACTTTCTAATATTATAGACTAAATTATAAAACTTATTTATAATCGCAGAGGTAATGATGATTCTCGAGTGTTAACCCTGGCTGAATCAAAATCGCAGAGGTAATGATGATTCTCCATCGATCCGTTTTAGGATTATGTTTGTTTAGAAATAATGTTTTTAGTTATGTTTTGACAATCGCGTTATGATGATTCTCGAGCGTTAATCCTGGTTGAATCAAAATCGCGTTTTGTTTTCACCCAATAATTTTCATTTTAAATAATATTTTTTTTTCATGACGATTTATTGACTAATTTATTTATATGAAAAATACATAGTGTTGTATAAAACAGATCAATATTCTATGATATAATAAATGAAAATCGATTTATACTATATTTGCTTCATATTAAAAAAGAAAATGAGATACTTGGAGTAACAAATCTCATTTGTTACTCCAGAATCTTGCAATATTTAAATTCTTCCTTATATACTTGGAGTTATCTTTGACTCTCATAAAAAAAATATTTTTGAGTTACCTTTGACTCTCATAAATTAATTTAATATTATATTTTATGGTCAACAAATAAATACCCGCCCTTCTTAAGCGCGGGTCAAAATTGAATATTATTTTTATTGTTCAAAAATCATAGATGTAATTATTTTAACTAACTTAAATAAACTATATAAGATGCGGGGGTCAAAATTGAATATTATTTTTATTGTTAAAAAAATCATAGATGTAATATTTTAACTAAAATAAATAAACTATATAAGAAGCGCGGGTCAAAATTGAATATTACTTTTACTGTTCAAAAATCCTAAATGTAATTATTTAAAAAACTATTTAATCCAAGCGCGGGTCAAAATGTAATATGTGTTTTAATTTTTCATACTCTCACAATACTTTTTTTTATTCTGTGTTCAACCACAAACTGACTCGGTTATGCAAAACTCAATAAAAAGATCCTACTAAAACGTTAAATATACATCAAATTTCACATATAAAATTATCATATAATAAAAATAGAATCATTTGATATATTTTGTTACAACCAAAATAAAATCCGCGCTTCTCGAGCGCGGGTCAAAATCTAGTGTAGAGGTATTTGACAAAGACGTCATTAATATCATCAACAGAGCCTCAAGTATATTATGAGGTTATCACAACAAAAGATCTTTAGGTTAAAAGTTGTTGAAAACCATATATAGCAAATATCTTAAAAGCATTTGAGTGAAGGATCGAATACTTCTAAGAATTATATATACTAAAGATATTTTAAACATAGTGTCAACAGATTAAAAGTTCAGCAGTTGAGTTAACCATCGAGTAGATTTTATTGTTACGTTGTAGTGCCATCTTTATAGATAAATATTTGTTTTCCTCAGTAAATGAGAATGTCCATACCAAAAGGTTAATGTTATACATTTATTAATATGATAGAATATTTATGCCGTTTTCAAAAAGTTCAAGTACATTAGTACAATCTAACTAAATCAAAGACTTATTAGATACGAAAATCACCAAAAATAAAATTATATACATTTCTATTTAGCAGATTATAGTAGAAATTTAACATCCAAGAAAATGTTAAAAACTTGATATATGTATATGAATAAAAATGAAAAGAAAACATTCAATTCGTGCTACATTTCGTGTTCTTGAATAATCCTCCCCGAATATTGGAAAAGATCCAACAAGAAGACCGCACTCTTTGGAATGAAAGAGTCTAATTGTCTATCGTAGAATCAGAAGAGATATTATACAACAGTTTGTTTTCCTGAATATCTTTTTAAGTAAAAAATTTGTTCTCACTGCGATTGAATATATTGGTAACTATTTTATCTCTCATTGCAAACAAAAACCAAAGCTAGGAAGGCAATAAAAGAAAGCCATGTTATTCATTAACTAAAACATTATAACAAAAGAGTCGTCATATGGACGACAACAATATTGCATGATTAAAAGAACTCAAACAAGAACACTTAAATAAAAAATAAATAAATAAAACCCTAACTAAGAAAAGAAACAAAGAACTAGAAGGTGACGTGACAAGTGCATCGAACAAGAGGAACGAAGAGAGGATCCTGGAAGTATCCCCAAATAACGTCGTCACATTCGTTTTTCATGTTGACGATAAGATTGCAACAATACTTGCTGACTTTAAACAACCTCGTGTAGAAACTGTACGCCATCTCTCCCCGACAAAACCCAACACGTCCCATGTTACTATAATAACGTCCAATGTGTTCCAGTGGATACTCATGATGATATTTCGGAGGTGGGTTCGAAGGCTGGCTAGGAGATGATGACTCATCACTTGGCGGTGAACGAGAGGGAGACTTCTTGGGAGTTGGAGGAGGAAGAGATGGTGTTGATGGCAGTAGAGACGTAGGAGGTGGAAGAGATGGTGTTGACGGTGGTGGAGAAGGAGACTTCTTGGGAGTTGGAGGTGGAAGAGATGGTGTTGGTGGTGGTGGAGATGGAGATTTCTTGGGAGTTGGAGGAGGAGGCGATGGTGTTGGCGGTGGTGGAGATGGAGATTTCACGGGAGTTGGCGGCGGTGGAGACGGAGTTGGAGGGGGTGGAGACGGTGTTGGTGGGGGTGGAGATGAAGCTTTCACGGGAGCTGGCGGCGGTGGAGACGAAGTTGGAGGAGGTGGAGACGGAGTTGGAGGGGGTGGAGATGGAGTTTTCTTGGGACTTGGAGGAGGAGGCGATGGTGTTGGTGGTGGTGGAGATGAAAATGGAGCTTTTTTGGGAGTTGGAGGCGGAGGAGAAGGTATAGGTGGCGAAGGAGACGTTTTGGGAGTAGAAGGCGTAGGAGACGGAGTTGATGGCGTAGAAGATGACGGCCTTGATGGAGTTGTAATGGAAATAACTGTACCAGATCCGTCGATATGAATACATTTCCAAACTTTGGAGTCACCATAGTTAAACAACTTATTGGAATTGCTTATAACTATCTCGTTTGTGGAGGCTTCAGACGGATGTGGCCATCCTTCGGTAGGTTTTGACGGGAATCTCAGGTTTTTTGCCGACGGTTATGGTCGGAAAAACGATGAGGTGGAGGAAAGCTACTACCATTAGAACCATCGAGCTTTTCATGGTGTATGGTGTTAAGGAAGATCTGTGAACAAATGAACTATATCGTCATATATATAGGAACGATTTTAATATTTTGTTTAATGATGATATCTTCTAAGGGATTTGGCAGTTAATATTCGGTATCGAATCTATTGACGGCTATTGTCATTATCTTATTATGGGGTAGCTATTTCATTTGAATAAATTTACACTAATATCTAATTTTGGAAATTAGTGGGTCTAAATATTTTAAAAAGCGTAGGTTGATATCCTTTTTTACATAGTAAGATCAAATGTTTTTCTAGCATCAATTGTTAATCTGTTTTTTTTTCCTATTATAATTGACCATGAAACTTAGCGTATATTGGTTAAATTGGTTTGTTAGTTTTTTCATATCTCCTTATATGCGGTATCTATACTATTAAAAGTGAAGGCACCCTTGAAAAATCGACTGATAGAAGTTGTGTGCACCTTTCATTAATGACATTTTGGTAATTTATTTTCGTCTTACATCTATATATATATATATGGATTTGTTACAAATCATATCACATATTGCATATACCCGAATTATTCTCTCTCTTCCCATTAATTACTCTAACCATTAATTATTCTCTCTCTTCCCATTAATTACTCTAACCATATTTTATACTATATTTCATACATTTATTGATTTCCAACATTATATTACACTATTTGGTATATGCATCATATATGGATTTTATAACCACATTTCATACTATACTTCATACATTTATATTGTATTGTACAGCTTATATTACATGATTTCAATCTATAGATTTTCAGCATTATACTTTTATGGTTGACTTTTTTGGTATATAAATCATATATGGACTTTATAATCATATTCCAAATTATATTTCATACATTTATATTGTGTTATACACCTTATATTACAAGATTTCAATCTATATATTTTCAACATTATACTTTTTGGTTAATATTTTTTGGTATATGCATCATACATGGACTTTATAAACCTTCGTTTCATTTATATTGTGTTATAGACCTTCATTTCATGATATATCTTCATATATGAAATATGTTTTTATGTCTCACTAAATTTACCCGTATTTATATACCATACTATATTTCATATAATTCTATTGTGTTATAGACCTTATATTACATGATTTCAATCTATATATTTCCAACACTATACTTTTTTGGTTGACATTTTTTGGCATGTGCATCATACATGGACTATATAAACTTTCATTTCATTTATATTGTGTTATAAACCTTCATTTCATGATCTATTTTCATATATGAAATATGTTTTCATGTCTCACTAAATTTACCCGTATTTATAAATCATACTATATTTCATACATTTATAATGTGTTATAGATCTTATACTATAGGATTTCAATCTATAGATTTCCAACATTATACTTTTTTGGTTGACATTTTTTGGAATATGCATTATACATGGATTTTATAAACTTTCATTTCATTTATATTGTGTTATAGACCTTCATTTCATGTTTTTCTTGTATATATGAAATATGTTTTCATGTCTCACTAAATTTATTTGTATTTATATACCATAGTTAGACGACATATATTGATATCAACCAAAAAATATATATCATCACTCTCATGTTGACATTTAATGGACGAGATACGTTTTGCTAAGAAAATATTGCAAATTCGGTTTTCTATAATTATCTTCTTACTAAAATAAAGAAATTGCTTTACCTACAAGCTATAGATTAACCACAATCAATATCGTAGATTCCATAAATTTCGGTAACTTGCTGTAGTTGGATTACCATTAACTGTTAAACTTTAAACTTCCTAACTATTCAAAATCTTCAAGAAATATTAATTATTCCTCAACAGAGATATTTTAAAAAATCGTATGAAATATTCTCCCCTATATTCGCGTAACCTAATTGTATATCGTCCCTACCTATTATAAATATAGTCTCTCTTAACCATTATATTTATCATCCCTTCGAAACCCTAAAACAAAAATGGCGAATAATTTGCATGTGTCTTTCTTGCGCGATATAAAACCGAGGAAGACTGCTGTCGCATCCAAGTTAAAATCCTTCATACGTGGAGACATTTCATGAAAGACTAAGGGAGTCCATGGAACTAATCCTTTGTGATGCAAATGTAAATTTATCATTTTGTGTAGATTTTTGATTTAGATATCTTCATTTCGTTAAAGTTTAACCTAAATGATAATGTTTTATGTTTATATAGGGAAGTAAGATCCATGCCTCGTGTAACAAGACATACATTCCTCGATTGGCAAAAGAAATTACTCAAATGCATATGATTTATTTTTGGTTATAAGTGAGGTCCAAATCTCAAATGCTTATGACATAAGTCAGATGTTTGTTAATCCTGAAATACCAGAGACAGATGAATTTAGACAACGGTATTTATCTTTTTCAATGTTTTCACTTTATAATAGTATAGACTAAATTATAAAACTTATTTATAATCGCAGAGGTAATGATGATTCTCGAGCGTTAACCCTGGCTGAATCAAAATCGCAGAGGTAATGTTGATTCTCTATTGATCCGTTTTAGGATTATGTTTGTTTAGAAATAATGTTTTTAGTTATGTTTTGACAATCGTGTAATGATGATTTTCGAGCGTTAATCTTGACTGAATCAAAATCACAATTTGTTTTCACCCAATAATTTTCATTTTAAAAAATATTTGTTTTTTTCTTGACGATTTATTGACTGATTTATTTATATGAAAAGTACATAGTGTTGTATAAAACAGATCAATATACTATGATATAATAAACGAAAATTGATTTATACTATATTTGCTACATATTGAAACAGAAAATGAGATACTTGGAGTAACAAATCTCATTTGTTACTCCAGAATCTTGCAATATTTAAATGATACCTTATATACTTGGAGTTATTTTTGACTCTCATAAAAAAATATTTTTGAGTTACCTTTGACTCTCATAAATTAATTTAATATTTTATTTAATGGTCAACAAAAAATACCCGCCCTTCTTAAGCGCGGGTCAAAATTGAATATTATTTTTACTGTTCAAAAATCATAGATGTAATTATTTTAACTAACATAAATAAACTATATAAGAAGCACGGGTCAAAATTGAATATTATTTTTATTGTTCAAAAATCATAGATATAATTATTTTAACTAACATAAATAAATTATATAAGAAGCGCGGGTCAAAATTTAATATTATTTTTATTGTTCAAAAATCATAGATGTGATTACTTTAACTAACATAAATAAACTATATAAGAAGCGCGGGTCAAAATTGAATATTATTTTTATTGTTCAAAAATCATAGATGTAATTATTTTAACTAACATAAATAAATTATATAAGAATTGCGGGTCAAAATTGAATATTATTTTTATTGTTCAAAAATCATAAATCTAATTATTTTAACTAACATAAAGAAACTATATAATTCGATTAACATATTTATTGGATTTAACTACAAATTTGTAATACAAGGTTGGGCATTTTTAATAGTATTGATTTTTCAAATTTACTATAGGCCATGGACGCATCCAATTTTGGTTTCAATCTAATATGTGTTTTAATTCTTCATACTCTCACAACACTTAATTTTCTGATTCTCGGTTCAATCACAAATTGACTCGGTTATGCAAAACTCAATGAAAATATTTTACTAAAACGTTAAATATACATCAAATTTCACATATAAAACTATCATATAATAAAAATAGAATCATTTGATACATTTTGTTACAACCAAAATAAAACCCGCGCTTCTCAAGCGCGGGTCAAAATCTAATTTTTTCTGTTATATATATTGACAAAAACCAACTTAATATACACTTGAAATCAACTCCTTGATTGGTTGTCCATTTAGAAAGAAAAAAATATTTATAAAAGAATGTTTGAACTTTGAGTCCTAGAAGAAAAGTAAATTAACTCATGATTGAATGACTTATTTTTAATGATCATTGATATTAAGCTACTCAATGGTAACAAACCCGAAAAGTTGAACTATAAACTCAAAGTTGAGCAAAGAGCAGGTAAGTTTTGATATATTCTGTAAGTCATTAAGAAAATATAATTGGGTAGAGAGAGATAGTGTGTGTGTTTCTGCATAAATTTATGGCAATGGTGGACCGTAGACGTTTAATGTTAGTTAGAGAGAAAACGTGAATACGGGTGTTCAATAGTTCTTGCCTCCCCCACCCATCATAGCCACAGACAAAATAAGGAATCGTTTTTTATTACAAAGCTCTGGCGTTACAATGTGACATTAAAAACTCGAATCTCTTCAACAGAAAGAGAGAGGTCATTAGGGTTCATAACTCACTTGAGGTTGTAAAAAGCAGAAATGCACAGAGAGAGAGGACGAGAGAGCGTATAGTAGTTGAAAAAAAAAACATTAATGGTTTGCAGGCAGCCAGTGTCCCATCTTTTCTGCGAGATTCCCTCAAATTTATTACATAGCATCTTCAATGTTCTTTTTAACTTCTTCCTCAGCTGTTTAATTATACGTTACACATTTTAAAAAAAAAAAATTGGTATGAAACTCAACAAGGAAAGACAGAGGAGGAGACAAAGGAGTATTGGTTCACATTGCATAGACCAATTTAGTTTGTAACGATGGTTACATGTAATAGAAGTTGAAATAGAGAGAGAGAGAAGAGAGATGAAGAAGAAGTAAAGAGGTTGAGCCAGGCTTTTGTGCATTGGTAGTAGATGTGGTTTTAATGCTCCATACCTTCCATTTTCCTTCTCTCTTTAACCCTAATTTAATACATCTCCTTTATAACTCTCCCCCACAGACATTCTCACCTTCTCCTCATCACACTTCCCCTCACACCTCTCTATCTTCTTTTATTTTCACAAGACATGTCTTCCTTTTGAATCTGCACTCTTTAGCACTAGAGAGTCCTCTTTGATATTGGCCTGGTTCACTCAGATCTTCTCGATCACAGGCACGCAACTCTCTTAGATATCTGATTGAGCCGCGTCAATATCTCAGTGCTCTCTCGTCTCTCCTTGTTTCTTGTAGATCTACCGATATCTTTATATTGACTTTTTGTTTATGTGTGTTGGAAATGGAGTCCTGATGATTCTTTGTTGATGGTAAAACTCTTTTAAGGTAACTGATCTTTGCTCATAATTTCAGATTCTTAAAAAACAAGTCATTTACCAGACAAAACGGAGTGTCTCAATGGAAGCCTAACCTTATCTTGTGAACCAAGGTACCCCCCACCGAACCTTTCATCAGCTTCTTTTCCCCAAGTATAATAAATCTCTTCTACTGCTTGTGATTTGCTTTGCTTCATTATAATCTATGGATCCTTTTAGAATGTATATTATTGTCTACTACTTTTCATTGTAAAAATTAGACAGAGTTTCATCAGTACAAATTGAAGGCGTGTTAGGGTTAATTAGTAGTTAAATATACAAAAAAAAATCACAATAATTTGAAAGGACAATGATGTTATGTAGATGTCAAAATCACAAAGAGAGAGGTGGAAGAAACAAGGGCATATTCAGAAGTTGAAATCGTTGGGATTTACTGGGAGAGAATCTGACGAGCACGAACCCTAACTTGCAAGCGAGCAAGAGCATGCATACAATGTAAAGCTATTCGAGCTTGCCTCCTCACAAGCACTCCTCTCGCCACCGCCTGAAGCTTCACAAGACTCCTCAACGCCCTAAACGCTCTCCTTGCCTACAACACTTGCAAATGGTTAAAAACAAAAGAGACAAGGTTTTGTATATGACCAGAGAAAATGTGTATATATGTTTATCTCTTACCAGGTGACCTCTGAAGAAGGCTTGAATTTTAGTGGCAGCGATGTGTTTTTTAGTGGTTTGTGGGATAGATGAGCGAATGGTGGTGATACTGCTCGGAGATCGCCGGAGAAGCTTCTTCCTTACGACACCAAACAGTCTTTTGGAGTTGTCCATATGTTGGGAAAGCCTTGTCTCTTGTCTCTGCTTTGGTTGGGAGTTTTTTTTAAAGCAGAGACGTGGAGAAGGAAACGTAAAATGTAAAATAAAAAGTGGAGACGGTGGCTTTAAGGGATGGAGATGATGTGCTCTCCATTTTTATTTGTTCATCTTTAACAAACGAACGTGCTCCCATGCTCTTCTCTACTTTGTACTTGATTTTGTTTCCTTTTTGTTTATTACTTTTGAAGACAGAAAAGTCTTTGGTCCTTTTACACTTAATTTTGTTTTAGTTTCAATAAAATTAAGTAAAGGAATCTTATTGAAAATTTGACTTGCAAGTACTGTTAACTAAACAACTTACAAAACATGTTGAAAATTATCTATCCGTTTTGAGATAATTTAATTTTTCCATTCGGTATGGGAATGATAATGTAAACGAGTTGGATAGGGGAAGAGATATCCGAATTACTTGAGCCCTCGAATTACTTGTTCATCTAATTTAAACTATTAACAATTACTATATTTTAGAAGTTTCATCTAATTTAAACCGTTAACAGTTATCCCAAAATATTTATAAGTTTTACTACAATTTTCTCTGATTTTGTTTATAAAGCTCATTTAATTTCGTAATATTATTTATCCAAATTAGTTGTAATCGATATTTCATATCTGAGTTTATGCCTTCTTCCATCACTTTTATTTTCTTAGAAAAAGAAAAATTCTCTATCTATTTTCTGTTAATTTAGGGGATTTATTGGGTTTATATTTGTACTGTTTCAATATCCTTTTGGGTTTTTGATAAAACCGTTGACCCAAAAAAAACTATACCCGTTGACAAAAAAAAAGAAAAAAAAGTACTCATATCCTACCAAAAAAAACTCAAAAAAATCCTTAAAGCCCATAAGTTTCCAAATTAAAAGGGCTTAACTTAGAAAATAGGCCCAACTAAAATCCTGTCTTCTCCAACCAAGGCTCTTGCAACAACATCTTCATTCATCACCACTGTCTTGTTTGAGGCAATCGCCAACAAATCTCTACTCTCTCTCTCTCTCTGTCGATTTCCTACAGCTAGAACATCGCATTTTGGAGAATCTTATTTCCTACAGCTCTTTCGTCCGCGATCCTCCCTGTCTCTCTCTCCCAATGTTTGCTTGAAAGAGAGAGATAGAGAGAGTCAACCATGGGCGTTTGTTGTCCTATTCTCCAACCCTGGGATCGAACCCGTGACAGCTACCTCCCTTGTCTCTCTGATCCTGGTAACCCTAATCATGATCCTTCCTTCAATTTCCTTATCCGAATCGGTTTTTGATTATTAATTCACTAAAACCCAATTGTGTTTGATTTCACTATTCACCAGTTAGAAGATCTTCTCTGTTTATGAAACTGGGACTTGTAGCTTTACACCTCGTCTTCATTGGCTTCCTCTTCTTCTGCGATGATGAATTCATCCAGAAAACTAAGCGAGATCCATGGTAACTTCTCTTAATTTACTCTATGCTAATCTTTCTATAAAGATCTTAACTTTATTCTGCCTCTTGACAGGTACATGGCTTCTTATTTATTGTTGTTTTCTCTCACGCTTCTTCAGTACTTTGTGACTTCTGGCTCTTCACCTGGGTAATCAAAAAAACTAAACTATACCCAACACTTCAACACTGTCCTTAGTGTACTAAAGCTTGTTTTTTGTCTTGTCGTTTAAGGTATGTTATTGATGCAATGAGGGATGTTTGCGGGAGTGACGCTATTTACAGAAACGCACCACCTACCACCTCAATGTGAGAATTGTTAATTATCATTTGTTGTAGTTTTTAGCAAATTTGTGTTGGTGATGGGAACAAGTAGTGATGGGAATGAACTGTGTCTCTCTCTCTCTGTTTTGTTGTGTTTATAGTTTTTTTTTTTTTTTATTATGTCTTGTTATTTAAGCGAAGACAACATGGTTCCAGAAAAAATGGGAGCTTTGTTATTAATGTGGAAGGAGAATCAGCTTCAGCTGCTGGTAGAAGGACTCCAACTTCTTGGGGGAAGATGGTTCTTGACTTGTACCCTCCTGGAACATCCATAAGGTATTCATATCAGCTTTTTTAAGTAGGAAAGAGTGTTACTGGCACTGAATTGTTTCTTTCTCTAAACTGCAGAAATTTGACTTGTGGCTATTGTCATGTGGAGCAGGTAAACATTTCAATCTCGTATAATTGCACAACTTCTTTTTTTTTTACTCTGTTTGTCTTAAAAGTTTTACCTCCCTAAATGTTTTGCAGCCTCCGCGAGCCAAGCATTGTCATGATTGTGATCGATGTGTTCTTCAGTTTGATCATCACTGTGTTTGGCTGGGAACATGTGTAGGCCAGAAAAACCATTGTAAATTCTGGTAAGCCCTGCAAAAGCTGCTTATTCACTGTGTTAGAGATAACATTTTTTTTGAGTTTTAAGATCTCTCTCATAAACGTGTTTCCATGTTATCAGGTGGTATATCTGTGAAGAGAGTGCTCTATGCATCTGGACACTCATCATGTACATTGACTACCTCACTAACGTAGCCAAGCCTTGGTATAACATACTACTTTGTTCATCTCCCTCTACTTGTTTTGGCCATTTCTTGAATTTTACAAATGGAAATGTGAACAGGTGGAAGACTGCAATTATAATACTACTCCTTGTCGTATTGGTGATCTCCATGATATTTGTGCTGCTTCTATTGCTTTTTCACAGGTACGTGTGTATACTCACATTTTCCTGATATTTTCCTCAAATCTCATACGTTTTGTCTAATTGCTATTACCAAACTGGTTTCCCTGCAGCTACCTCATTCTAACGAATCAAAGCACTTATGAACTTGTCAGACGAAAACGTATTCCATACATGAGGTATTCAAGCCCTCTTTTATCTATCACCTAGTAATGATATCAATTTACTTTAGGGAGTCCAAGTGTTAATGTTTGTTAGTTTATCGATTGGTTATGTGATAACAGAGCTTTTTGGGTTTTGTAGGAATATTCCGGAACGTGTGCATCCATTTAGCAGAGGCATTAAGAGGAATCTATACAACGTCTGTTGCGGCAACGATACCCTAGACTCACTGCCCACTTCATTCGAACTCGAGGATAAAGCAAGACCCTACACTTGCTTAGATATGTTGAAATGTCGCTGTTGCTAAGTTTTTTTTTTCTTTTAGTTAGACAACTACATACCTCTATTGTTTTAATCTATGAAGGTAAACTGGTAAAGTGTTTCATCTAAAAATATGATTAAAGTTGTATACATACACAATGAGAATCTAGTGAATGGAGTTCTAGTTAAATCATATATCATAGAGAGAGTGTTCAAAATAGTGACTCTTGCTTGAATCATTCTTCTGTATAAGCTTTCAATATTATTTAACTGCCTTAGATATAAGATGTGAAACCTAGGTGGATCTTACTGGTCTATTTTGCTTGTTATTGACTCTACTTGAGAGGGTTTTCTTCCCTATCTTCTTTAGGGCATCTCCATCAGTGATACTGTGGTGGAGATCGTTAGCTGGATTTTTTTTTTTTAATTTTTTTTTATTTTCGTTTATCTTTTCACAAAAAAAAAAAGAACAATGGCGGACTGCCACGTGTCATGGGGCCCGCGTTACAGTGCGTGAATCGCCTCTTGCAAATGAACTCCATAGCTTCAGGTTCTCTTGAAAACTGTGTAACCCCCCCCCCTTTAAACCTCATAGAAACCCCTAATGGGGATGGCCTTAGTTCCATATCTTGTTTGCAATGTTCAATGTATAGTTTTATAAACTTTTCTTGATGTCTTCTCTGTAAGTGATGCGAGTCTCAAAAAATTTAGAACTAACATAAAACTAATAAAGAGTCGACATGCGATGTGATCATGATTCTTGATATGTTTTGTAGCAATATGAAACACAAGATTGGTTTCTTTGGTAAGTACTAAAGTAGAGATGCTATGATGCTCTTCTTGATCTCGGCTGCAATCTCCCCTGCATATGCGTACTCTTCAAGAGTCTTCTCAAATATTTTGACTCGCTTAAACACCGGAAAGAACATCCACAAACTCGTCATCATGACAAACCGGAAAGTCAAAACACGACTGATTCCTGTCGAAAACCTCCACTTTCTGTTGACTTTTTTCTTGATGGCAATCTCTAACGTCGTGAACCATCCATTTATAAAAAAGAACCACATTATCTTCCAGTCCGGCATCAACCCTCCCAAGTAGAAGAAGATGAGCTCGTGCATCAACCCTGAGACAACAAACGTGGAGAAAACAGCAGGAGCCCGGGACCAGTTCGCGCCCAAGAAAGGGAAGAGCTGAACCATCGGTTCATATACGGTAGGCCTAAGGATTCCACTGATAGCCAGGTTCCACCGTCTCCCCCAAAAATCTTGAAGAGATGTCGCCAGGTACGGTCTGTTGAACTGTGGTTCAAGGTCAAGACCAGACATGGCTCGAACAAGGGTGGCCGTGGCAGCTAGAATGAGCTCGAGGAAGAGATACATATGAATCGCGTAGAGAGTCAATATAGCTTTTTCAGGGAGTTTGGTGCTATACTCGTAGACCTTTGTCATAAGAACCAAAAGAGTAACCATGATGGTATAATATAAGAGATTTCCTCCATGGGAGTAAGATGTGGTAGGTTTAGGGATCAGATGAATCTTGATGGGCAAGCAAGAGACAGCTAAGAAAATAGGGAGAGATAAGGGTTTAGGGTTTGAAGAGAGAGGACCTCTTCCTAAAGCAAAGAGAAAAAGCTTGAAGTTAGCGAGCCAGCAGATGAAGAAAGCTGTGATGCCTATTGAATGTATGGTGGACAATGATAAAGGAACTATGAAGAAATAGAGGAAGACGGGTATGAAGAGTATCATCCTTCTGATTCCTTTTGGAACCAGTTGGGCAACGACATAAGTGTAACATAATGAGATGATCACTAAACACCATGCGCTTATGAAGCTCATCATCTCTGTTCTGTGGTGTTTTCTTTTGTACTAAATAACTTATTTTCTAGGAAGGTTTTTGAATTATTATTGGTACTAGGTTGATAGCTCCGCGCTTGCGCGGAGCCGGAGACTGTGATGATGCGTTATGATGTTTTATAGATGGGATTTTGTCATTTTTTTGGACATCTTTTTGTTTGAGGTTTAACCGAAAACCCGATTGAATTTAGTTGGTATATGAATGAGTGAAAATTCATATGCTTTGAAATATTCATATATTATTTTAGTAATGATTTTCTCGAATATTTATGTTATTAGTGCTTTTATGTCTAGGATGGGTGATTTATTATGTTGTTATTGTCTAATTTGTAGGTTGGTAATATATTATTGTTAAATAGTGAATTAGCATTTTAAAAAAATTAAGATTTTATTAAATTATACAAAAAAATATAGTTATATGGATTGAAGAGAAAAAGATGAAACGTGTTTGTTAAGGGGTTGTGTGGAATGTTTAGAGATCAATATTTATTAGTGAGTAAAGACCTGTTTTTATTTACAGATAAGAGTGTTTGACGAATTTATATGTGTTCGTATTTCTACATTTTTTTACGATTTAATTGGATCTTAATGTTATTAGTGAGTTAATAACCATATGTAACCAAATATATGTATTTGTTACTTTACAACTATAATATGGGAACGAAGAAGAAATAATTTTGTTATTCGAAAAGAAATATAGTTTGTTGTTTTCAATGTGCCATGACAGGTTTTGAAAATATATAACTGTAGTTTAATAAATGCTAAGGCTTCGTATAATTATATACATGTATGACTAAGATAGTTATTTTTTTTATATTTGTCAAAAATATTTTGTGGTAGTTTAAAAAAGGGAATGGTAGATTAAAAAGTTTAGTCGTATAAAATTATATTCGAACACAATGAAAATGTAGTAGCTGGGTTTTAAATGATTGGACTTGAAATTTGATGAGTCTTGAGTCTCAATTTAGATCTGAAACTGGATTGTTTACTCGTCCTTTTTGCTTCTCCTCGTCATCTTCAGTAGTGTGACAAGCTCTTGTGATTCTTGGTCTGATTGTGTTTTTAGTGTGTCATTTTGTGAAATTATGGTTTTTCTATAGCAACATGGAAGAGAGATTAGCTCACCTTAGCTAAGGCTGTCTCCATCGCATTCCTTACTCAGTGAACCTCTGTTGATTCGGTGTTCTCGGAACATGCAATAAGAAGGTTTGAATTTGTTGTATGACTTTATTTCTATAATTATTAGTTTCGTTTACTAAAACCCATACCGAATGATTTGAGGTTCTATATGTTCATTTGGTTGGTATGGCTTATGTTTACTTTAACATGACAGAGAGACTTAAAGGCTGCATGATGGATGCCGGTGACGCTAGTTTTAGGAATTGGAGAAGGAGAGAGAGACATTTTCTAGAAGATGGTTAAAGTTAAGAGGACTAGATAAGTTTTGTGGAGATGCACAAAGGGTTCATCTAAGATGAGAATCATATATATATGATTTACAGAGGGGCTACAAATCAGGAACATTTATGATCAAGCGATGTAAGATGGGAGATGAAAAGTTCACCAGTGAAAAAAATAGATTACGAACAGACACACGACGCAGCTCTATAACTCAGACATGTATGAGACAATGGTGAAAGGAATCTTAATTCATTTTAAACATTAACGGTTTACAATATGGGAAAACTGTAACTTTTGTAAACTTGAGGATTTTCTTCATATAATATGATGAAGCCCAATTAAAAATGAAACTCATAATAAACTTCCAGGCCCGAACTTTAAAGGAGGCCATAGATGCAAAGGCTTCCGGCTAAATATATATTAGTTTCGGCCATCAGTGTATAAGTTATCTTGTAGTTTAGTGGTATGAATGTTAGTGTTTGTTTCTTAATAACCCGGGTTCGAATCATATGTTTGATAGTTTTTCACATTTTTAAAGTGGGACCCACCTAATGCTGATGTGGCGCGTTGAGGAATCTTGAAACTCAACTATTATAATATAGATTCTGAAAGAAAAAAATTCTCTAAAAATTATTTAATTACTGATTCAAATGATGTTGAGACTGACAAATCATGAATTGAATTTAATGTTATAGATTTGGACAAAAGAAGTAACGCATTAGAAATAACCTCTTCCATAAATACCGTGAGTTCTTGTTTTTAAGAAAATTGTTCCTAAGATAAAGTAATGCTTAACTTGGTTAGGAACGTGAATCGGACGTAAACATAAAATAATAATAATGTCTACATGATGATGTTTGCATGAAAGACAGAGGGGAATATTATGATACTAATCCTAACTATAGTCACTTGGCCAGCAAGATGGGATCATATTATCTGGCTTAATCTTCCATTATAACCGGTTTCGAATGGTAAAAATAGATCAAACGATTCATGTAGATCAAGTAAGACAAATACAGATCAAGTGAAACAAATGTAGATCAAGTGGATCATGCAAGAGAGATACATATTAAACAATGACAAAATCAATTCAAAATTATGGATACAATAAAAAATTATCAAAATATCAAAATAAATATCTTAGATGTTGTCGGATTAGCCAAAATGTTTATTGAACTTTTCATAAGATGCTTTGTATTTCTTCTATTTTCATTTTAGTTGATCAAAATTATCTTTGAAGAACCGACATATTACTAATATTTAACTCTTTGTTGATATTTATATAGAAAGATTTATATCTTTTTGTTGAAAAATATTGTGTTTTGTCTGTGACTGAATGTCATACTTATAAATTTAGAAATGATATGCTTATAATTTTAAAATTGACACAAATATTATTTAGTGTGGACTATATTGTTTGAGCTAATTATTATACATTATTTATAAAATCAAATAAATATATTTAAAGTTAGCGTCTGTAGCAAAATCATTTATTACTGAAAAAAACAAATCAACACCATCAAATGTTAACGGGTTAGATCTCCTGTTTTTTTTTCCACAAAAAACAGAAAATATAAACAGAAAAAGATGAATGGTAAAAACAGTACATGAGAACTGCATTTGTCCCGCTCCTCTATTCGAACACTTAGTCTTTCACATCTCTCCAAAATTCCATCAACAAATTAATCCCTCTGCAACCTAAATTCAACAAATGCAATCCTCATCAAACTATTCATTACCATACACAAATCTATTATATTAAAAGAGAAGTCATGACTCACTTCATGTGTGATTTTTTAGTTTATCTTAGAAATTTAATAAAATTTTATATTACATCATTATAATATCTTTCCATATCTTTAATTATTTTTTGAAATACAAATAAATATTTTTAAGAAAATTCTAACAAAATCTTTTAAAAATCAATTAGAATCTTTTCAAGATATAGGGGGTGATTGGTAGTTGATGTAGGTGCTGTCCACATCCTTATTTATTTCTACAGCACTAAATTTAGAGCAATCAAGCTTTAATTTATTTTTGAAATCACAGCTCTTGAAATGATCTACAACTATACAAGTGCTCTGCAGAGCCAAATATCCAAAGCAATTTTTTAGTACTTTCCAAAAAATCTACAGCAATAAAATCTAAAGCCACAGCAAAAAGTCTACAGATTTTTTTCTACAGCAAAAACTTTAAAGCTACAGCCATTACCAATCGGATCCATAGTTTCAAAAATTATTTGATTAAAAATATTAATTCATTTTTTATTTATATACAAAAAATTAAAATTATGTGAACTACTTTTAACAATATCCCAAAATTTTGTTTATGTATTATGTAGGTCCAACTTAATTTACTTTTTACATATATTTTAAATTTAGAAATAAAAGAAAATATATAAATTAGTAATGTTACATAATAATGTTTTTTAAAATTGCTACAAATATTATTATAAAATTTATATTAATAATATTATAAGCCACATAAATATGATTATAAAACTGGATAGTATATAGACTACAAATTTTAATTATTTATTGATAAATTTTACTCCCTCTGTTTCGTAATATATGATGTTTTTGGATCATTATACAAAGAAATTTATATTATTTTAAAAAAGTATTTTAAAGATAATTTTAAAATCATTCAACCAATTACTAAAACAAAAGTAAAATTTTATTGGTTGAACAATTTACAATATAGTTAAAAGTAATCTTAAAACCTCAAGATACCCCTAAAATTTTAAAAACATCTTATTTTTGGAAACAAAACAAATCTTTTAAAACACCTTCTAATTTGAAACGGATGGAATATTATATAATTTTACATATTTTCGTATTAAAATACCCGCACGTTTGTGCAGGTCGAGATCTAGTGATCTCTTAATCCAAGAGCTAAAACATGGGATGGTTTATTTTGATAAGTACTCACAAATAATTATAGGATGTGCCTGGAAGTTGTGTGTTGATATGGCAATGCCATGCAGAGAACCATGCTCGCGCGGAACCTGACGCCCTCTTCTTGAATTGGAGTTACCGGTTTGGTTAACGCATCAAATTTGATTGAATCCCTGAACCGAATCATCAGATGAGACTCGGAGGGCCTGTAGCTCTGATGACACCGAGCCACCTCAAATCTGCCTAGTGTGAACATGAAACGATAGTAACTAAACGTAAATCAGAGTACATAGACAATGATTCGTCTCTTTGGATTTGCAATCTCTATTGTTGTTTGAGTTAATGATAGATCGAAGAAAACGCTAAAACTCTAATTGACAATATCTTCTTTCGAGAAGGTCTATTGGACTTATACTCTTTTATGTCATAAAGGAAAATAAAATAAAAGACTAGCCTATATTAAAAGGGTTTTCTGCAAAAAAAAATCTCAATGTAGCTTTTTTTGCAAATTAAACCGCGAACTCAAAAATTCCTGGGTCAACCCTCCAAGTGCCAGTCAAACCGCAATATAACCATCGGCCGTGTAGATGTATATCTGACTGTGTATAATTTTAACATTTATCAATACTACGTCATTTTAGCTATAATTTTTAATGAAAAAAATTTGCACACGTCTGGGCTCGAACCTTAAACCTTATACACAACGCAACTATATATATTTGATTTTAATGTATAGAATTTAATTATTATTTTATTTTTTTCATTTATATTAACTTATTATATTATTTGATGTAAATAGTATATATTGTATAGAAGTTAAACGTGGTATATATATAATGTTACTAAAATCTCATCAAAAATATATTAAGTGTTAAGAAAATATAAAGATAATTTCATTGTGAATAAAAAATAAAAAATATAATGATAGGTTCTTACTTATATAAATATGTATACTTTAAAAATTATTAATTTATAATTTTAATGGGACCATATGTTTACACAGTATTTTCTAAAAAAACATTATCTTATTATTTTATCGCTTTGTGTCAAATTATGAACCGGCCCAAGTCAGGACCGGTGAAATTTATTAATTTATAGATATTATTAATTTATCCATTATTAATTTATAGAAGTTCTACTGTAGTTATTTTTTCACATGCATGTTTTGAACAATAATCGAAATGGGATTCTTGTTTCCGGCTCATCTCCGCATTCTTCTTCAGTGTTTTCGTGGCCAGAGCAAAGAAGGAAGAAATGATGCACTCCCATGACCATAGAAATGATGCACTCCCACGATGACACAGATCGATAAAATAATAAGATATAATTTTTTTTAGAAAATACTACGCAAATAAATGGTCCCATTAAAATTATAATTAATAATTTTGTATGTATACATATTTATATAAGTAAGAACAATCATTATATTTTTTTATAAATTCACACTGAAATTATCTTTATATTTTCTTAACACTTAATATATTTTTGATGACATTTTAGTAATATTATATCTAAAACCACATTTAAATTCTATACAATATATATTATATATATCAAATAATATAATAAAATTATTATGAATGATTTTTTTAAATAATAATTAATGTCTATACATTAAAATCAATAAAAAAATCTAAATAAGGAACTTTTGTAAATTAATAAATTTTTAAAATCCCAACATTATTGATTTATAGAAGTTTTATTGTATAAGTAAAGAGAACCAAAAAAGTAAATATTTGAGTGACAATCTAAGGATGACCCCCATATTCATTACACAAACTCGTATGTCCAAAGAAAAAATAAGAAACAAGGTTATTTCGGAATGAATTTAAAAATATATATAGTTGCTTTTGTTAAGTGTATAAATATATCCGTTAGCTGAATTGATTATGTATAATGCAGATTGTGTGTATGGTTCAAGGTTCCAACCCAGGCGTGTGCAAAATGTTTTTTTTTTAAATTACAGCCAAAACGACGTAGTATTGATAAATGTTAAAATTATACACACTCAAATACACATATACACGGCTGAGAGTTATATTGCGGTTTGACTGGCGCTTGAAGGGTTGACCCGTAGATTTTTGAGTTCGCGGTTTAATTTGCAAAAAAAACTACATTGATGGTTTTTTGCATATTAAAACTAACCAAAATTAAAACGAAAACAGCAAATATGAGTTGCGGCTATTTGCTTGTTGAAATGTATGTTTTTTTTCTTGTTTAGTTAGACTACCTACCTCTATTGTTTTAATCTATGAAAGGTAACATGTTTTTGAAAAATATGGGTGAAGTTGTATACATACACAAGGAGAATCTAGTGAATGGAGTTCTAATTAAAATCATACATGCATAGAGAGTGTGTTCAAAATAGAGACTCTTGCTTGTATCATGCGCCTGTATAAGGTTTCAAGCGACTCCTCTAGTTCTTCAACTGCGACATCTACGTTATCAAAGGTTGTGATCAAAGACTTGATTTGTTCCTTCTTTATCTCTTTCGCCAAGCCTAATCTTTGTAGCTCCTCGTCCATCATCTGGAACTCGTTTGTTTGAACTTGAGTAACGTTCTTGATCACAAGTCTGGTGACTAAAGCCCATTTTTGAGGCGTGGGCTTCGGTACAGGTGAGGATAAGGACAACAAGACAGTCCTAAAGGAAAGGCATGTTTGGGAACAAACTTGTCTGAGAAGTGTGATCAAAGGATGAGTTGACTCTGAGGAGGAATGATCCGTTTGTTTGAGCAACAAGAGAAGCTTAGCAAGATCCTTATGAATCAATCTCCGAGAACGAATAAAGACTTTGAGGTGGCACTGGATGGTTGAATCTCCACCGTGTGTCCTCCGTCTGAAAGCAAAACGTAGATCTCGGATGATGTCCTTGATGCGGCAAGTGATGTCTCGTAGCTTGGAGCACAAGTCAAGGTGTACAAGGGAAAGATCAAGAAGATGGGTGAAAAAGGAGTGATGAGGGAGTAGTGATGAAGCTGGTGAGTCGTTGAAAAGATGAGAAACAGAGTCATAGAGCTCTGAGAGACACGAGAGACTGTTATTATTAGTATCTGTAGGAACCTTGTTGAGGAGTTGCTGAATATGGTTGATGAGACCATTTGAATGTAGCCTTGCTGGTAAGCTACAAGATCGAACGTGGTAGGTGGCAGCCATTGTTAATGTGTGTTTGAGATAAGAGAAATAAAGAAGCTGGAGTTGAATATATAGGGATAGATAGATAGGTCAAATGAAATAGGGTTTAGACTTGTGAAAGTAAAAGCCACGTGAAGGGGGACAACGTTCATTTGTTCCATCGAAGCCTTACTTAATAATTTCTTTTATTTTGATGTCGACGTATGCTATTATAGAGTTGGCTATACATGTACCTAATCTTCTAATCTCGTGTCTATGTTTTCATAGCTAATTTTTATTTCAGTTTTTAAAACAAAAAAGATCGTTAATTAGGTACCCACTTAGATCTTTGGTTAGGCGAAAAGAATCAAGACTAAGATATTTTGTCAAGCATCTCCTTTAACTTTGGGTGTTGATAGACACCGACGTGCATGGATGTATGGGTTTGTAATTACTTAATTAGTGAGCGTATATTCTTTCATATTTGTGTGATGATCATAGGAATATAGCATAGTCTAAATTCTAAACACAAAATAGTTATTGAAAATGATTTTTAGAAAAGAGCTGGTGGTTGGATAATGCTAGATGGGCCAGTGTGCACGAGTGTCTTGTTAAAAGCTTCCAGAGGAGACGATGATAATAATAATCAAGCATGCATCACAATCATAATTCACACACCGTCTTCCTATACTAATTTGAATTCATGAATGTGACTTGTCACTATCAAAAGTCCAGCCTGCAACTGAATCTCCTCATCCCTCTCTTATTAGATTTGGATATCTCGAAATATCCGTCCTAACTATAATTAGGCTTGTCATTATAATATCTTCGCGTGCTGTGGATATGTAACGTTTTTTTTTCTTTTTGAATTTTATTTGGATATGCAACTTTTTTTTTGGCATCAAAACGATGATCTATTATTCAACCTTAAAGTGGTCTGGGTAACCAAACCGGAATATAACAACCAACATACAAAATCTTACGATAAAAGGACCTAGCCGTCTTATCTAAAGAATAAGAAAATCTATTATGTAATCTAGGGACGTAAAAAATCTTGAAATCAGGGAAGTAAATCCTCAGTGTCAAGAGTTTTTCCAATTCAGTTGAGAAGCTAGGCCATTTGTGGGGATTCCTGAGCATCGCGATAATTTCCTTGCAATCAGTTCTAAAGCTCTGACTTGGTGAATGTTGAAGCATATTCTCCATTGCTCACCGCAGTGCCTCCACCTCTGAATGCAACGCCGACTCCACTCTATCAAAATTGCGCAATCCTATTAACTTGCCATTTCCCAAGCTATCATTCCAGCCCCAACCACATCCACTTTAATGATCAGTAGAAGTCCAAGATCCATGCATATGTTACCCAGACTTATGGCCTGGTTTTCCTCAACTCCGTTACCTAGGAATGACAGTGTATCCTGCTCGTTTGCTCGGAACCAGGTTTGACACTCACATTCTGCATACCTCGCTAACTTTAAAGGGTCTCTATCCATACCTCTGGACAGCTTATCATTCTGAGCCTTCTAAATATACTAAATTAGCCAGTGATAAGGATCCCTATATAAGTCTGGTTCTATTATAGGATTTTTCCTCCAGAAGAGGTAATTCCTGTTCGCATATGTGCTCTGAAGTGACAACAAAGAAGGACTGGTAGGCGTGGATGATAAAACCAAAACTTGCAATGCAGGTGGACATTCGAAGATTGCATGTGTAATTGTTTCTTCGGATTCCCTACAGCGTGGACATTGATTTTCAGATCTCATATGTCTGTAATTTAAGATACGCGTAACAGCCACATGACCTTTTATTAATTCCCACATAAGATGGTATATCTTTTGGGGAGCCTTGACCTTCCAAGCATGTGTTTGGAGCTTTGTGATGCTAGGTTCACATACAGCAGAGTCCTCTTCCTTCAATAAAATATTATGTGCTACCCAGTATCCAGATTTAATTGTATACTATCTATTCCTTTCATAGCTCCTGCAATACGTATCCCGGAGATGCGTGGTACTGATGGCCAGACTCTTAATGAGTGGTATATCAGCAGCAACTACATAATTCTCAAGGTGGCTCTCATCCCAAGTCTTTGTTGCTTGATTAATTAAATCACTCACTCTCATGTTCAGATTCAAAAACCGGTACCGATAAGGTTGTAGGTCTCGCTGGGATGGTAGGGATCCAAGGATCCTCCCAGATTTTCACATCATACCCCGAGTGAACCTTTTGTCTAATTCCCAGCAATAGTAATTCTTGTCCCGCTGATATGCTTGTACACAATATGATGGACTACTAACAGTGAGCTGACGCAAAGGCGTACTCAATCTGTAGTACATGCCTCTCAAAACACGAGCTACCAGGGAATCCAGATATTGAACTAGTCTCCATAATTGCTTTGCTAGTAGCGCCAGGTTGAACTCATGTATCATCCTAAAGCCATTTCCTCCTTCTCCTCTAGATAAGCATAACTTGTCCCATGTTGACCAATGTATACCCCTTATTGGGGGGTTTGAACTCCACCAGAACTGTGCGATGGCACTAGCTAAATTCTCACAAATCTCCAATGGAAGAAGAAAGCATGACATTGCATAAGTTGGGAGAACTAGCAGTATCGATTTTATCATAACTTCTTTGCCACCTTTTGATAGCCACCGTCCATCCATTTACTCTACTTCTTAACTTGTCCTTTAGAAAAGCAAAGAGCTTGCATTTGGATCCACTGATATCCTCTGGGATTCCTAAGTACGTACCCATTCCTCCTTCATTATGGATTTTAAGTGTGTTTTTGATCTCTTGTCTTATATCCTGACCGATTCTTTTACCAAAGAGTAAAGAAGACTTATCAAAGTTAATACATTGTCCTGAAGCTTATCCATATTTCTTGACCACTTTCATTACTTCTTCACATTCACGGGGCTCCGTCTTACAAAAGAACAGACTATCATCAGCAAAGAAAAGGTGGGATACCGAAGGGCACGGACGAGTGATGTGCATCCTCGTTATCTTTCCTTGGTTCTCTGCGTGATTTAGAAGACTAACGAGCGCTTCCGTGCACAGAATAAAAATGAATGAGGACAGAGGATCCCTTGTCGTTGACCTCTCTCCGGGACGATATTCCCTCTTGGCTGGCCATTGATAAGGACCTTGTACTTTATTGATGTTATGCATCACATTATCCAAGTTATCCAGACTTCCGAGAATCTCATCTTTCTCATGGTGGGCTCGATGAAGGACCATTCCATTTTATCATATGTCTTACTCATGTCTATTTTAATAGTCATTCTCTTATTGCGTCCACTCGGTTTGGTTCTTAAGACATGAAACATCTCCTGAGTTATCATAATGTTGTCTGATATTTGTCTTCCGACAACAAAGGCTGACTGAATTTCTGAAATCCTATCTGGTAGAAACTTTTTTAATCTTTGACATAAGACTTTAGCGATTATCTTGTAACTAACATTACATAGACTGATAAGACGTAGTTGGCTCATCTGGTTCGGCTTATCTACTTTTGGAATGATGCATATGTTGGTATCATTTAAACCAGAAGTAGACATTTTGTTATGTTAAAAAAAATAGACATTTTATTACCTTTAAAAAGAGAAGATATTTCATCTTAGATACTTGCTTTATCTCATGCATGTATGAAAACACCAAATTAAATTAAGTTCATAATTTCTTCAATGCCTGGAATCAATTATCATAAATTCAGAGTCGGTGGTCCTAGTATTCTAAATGCTAGAAACAAGGAAAAAATTATGGCCACCTTTTACAAAAAAAAAAGAGAAAAAAAAAAGAGATGGTAGTCACTAGCACTCGAACCATGCACTAATGATAGTGATAACACTCCAATCCTACCACTAGACTACAAACAATATTTGAAAAATGTGGCCGAAAAATAGTTTTGTAATAAATAACCGCAAGCGGTTGCTTCTTTCGATTCCATCTAGGGCCGCCACTGATAAATTCTAACTAGATTTTGAACCCGCACATCCGTGCGGGTAATTTTTCATTTTATAAAAATATAACAAAATCTTTCAGATATATCATTTACATTTTATTTTTATATTGTATAACTATAGAATCTTATTATTTTAATTATTTTATATAATATATTGTTGTCATTTTTTTAAAATATCAAATATATTTTTTAGATAATGTATTTGTTGTGAATTACAAAATATATGTCAGCATTTTTTGTATAAAAATATTACATGATTTAAAAAAATTAATATGTTTTAACAGTGAATAAAAGAAAATTTTAAAATAAAATATTTTACTTTACCAATTTAATATATTTTATATTAATTTCACATAGCATTTTATTTTAATATAATATAGAAAATCATTAAATTATAAAATATACTAATTTTTTATTTTTAATTAACATTA